CCCTCCCCACGGCCCCTAAATCCCAATCTCTCTGCCCCCCCCAAGACACAGACACTCAGATTGCTTTCTGGGAGTCTAGCTGGGCAGGTATTTACTCCTGCCAATCTCAGCAGCTGCTGTGTGTGCCTCCGTCCGTGTGTCTGTGTGTGCGTGGTGTTGTTGTTGTTGTTGGTCTGTGGGCAAATGTTTATTTGGGGGAGGTGTACATCTTGCATCCCCCAACAATCGACAGAAATGGCAGTTGCGATCATTTCCTCTCAGCCTGAGGTTACAGATCTGGGGAGGGAAGGAGGAGGATCTAGGAAGTAGAAGGCTCTCTCCTTTTCCGCCAAGCGACCCTGCGCACTGGAGTAAATGACACATGCATTTCTTACATTTCCTCCCATAAATCCATGGTGGCATAAACAGCACTTGCAGTTCCAGCCTCGCTCAAGAACTGTATCCCTTCAGCAAGGTGAGGGCATCGTGTCATCGGCCGAGCCCTCCGTCCGAAATGGGGGATGCTTGAGGAAAAAAAAGAAGCAGCAGAGAGGTGGTTCCTCGCTCCCGAGGGGCAGGCGTGATACTGACCCAGGCTTGGTGCTGAAAGGGTGCTTTCATCCTGCCTCTTGCCTTAAAGTCCGGGCTTCCAGAAAGATTTCATATTCCTTCACTATGTGGAAAAACGGGGATTCGGCCAGACTTATGTAGTAAAGTATTATTGAAGAAAGACGGCAGCGTTATTCCTTGTCATCATCCTCAGTGGGTGATGCTGTAGCCGCAGGAGGCGTCTTGCTCTGCTAGGGGTCTCTAAAGGCTAAGCCTCCTCTCGCATCAGCCTTTTGTGCCTTGTCCTCTTTGTGGCGCACAGAATTCACTTCGCCGTCTGTATAGCATGTTCTTTTCTCTGTGTATAACCAGTAGGTTTGTTTTTTCTTCTTCATTTTTTTTTCTCCAAATTCTTGCCTTCTTCAGCACTTGCTTGGCTGTTCACAATCATCAAAACCTGTTCCCTGTTGGTCGTGTTCTGTTTTAAATCAAGCCAGACAAAATCGAAGCAGGAGGTTCTGTAGTTTGGTAAGAGAGCACGTGTTTCCTATGCAGAAAGATGTGGGTTTACTCTCACATCTGAGGAAGAACCACCCTGAGAAGCCAGTGTGGCTTTTCCATCATAAAGACAATGAAAAATCTTTTGGCAATCCATATTATAGAACTGTTGGTGGCAGTTTAAAAAAAACCAACGAGAGTCTGAACTCTCTGAACTCTTTCAAAAAGAAGAAGAGGATCTTCCGCTCTATGTGGCTCCCAAAGGGGACACTCCAAAAATGTGATGAGGGCAGCACAGGACTGAAATTTTAGAAACAGGAAATCAACTGAAAGGTAGCCCAGGTGCATTATGTCCCACAACTGCAATAATTTCTCTGCCCCACCTTCCCTTGTTTTCCAAGCCCTGGTAAGTTTATCCCAGTTGCCCAGATCAGTAGAGATGCTGTGGAAGATACGGACGTTGCCCTTTGCCAATAGGTTGGTGCTCTGAGATTGGACACCTTTTGGGATGAAGGCAAGCCCCTCGTCTTTGGGCGGGAGCGCTGAGCAAGGATCATGGCCTCAGACCAGCTGAACAGTCAGGGCAGTTCATTTGCGTTGATCCGATTCATGTTCCTTCTATGGGAAGCTGATGCTTGTTGGGATTAGAATGCTTTCCATTCAGCATCCTTGAGAAAGGGTGAGCTTTGCATCCAGGGATAAGAAGCCTTTCTCTGCTTTCCCTCTGCATCCGTCCCCTGACAACGTTGTCCGTTGTTTGGGAGAAGAGTAGACACGATGAACAGTTTTCTCCATTTGTCCCGCTTGAAGTGTTGACCATCTTGGCTGTAAGTCTTGTGTTGTAAGGAATCTCATCGTCAGAGTGGGAAGGAAAATGGTTCATGGACCACTCGCCTGTTTCTGGTTTAAAGATGCAAGAAGCAAGACTGATAAGATGTAACTCTTATTTAACACATTGGCCCTCCTGTGCTTTGTTTTCTTTATCGGTGGAATCTACAGAGCATCCACCGGGCTCTGCACTTCGCACTGTCCTTAAAAATTCATTACGCTAAGGAAGCTCTGCATAGAAGCAGCAAAGGTGGCTGCACTGTCCCAGTCCAAAAAAAAAAAAAAAATCATGAAGTGCAAGCCTGTATGTTTTTTTTTCCTTTTCTTTCCAAAACATGGGCCTCAGCAGGATCAGGTGCCATGCAGGCCCGGCCTCTTGGTGTTGGCACAGCATCCCAGCCTGTTTACGGTTTGCTGTTCTTAATGGGCCACCTGGTGGTTTCTGGGACTTTTGCAAAAAATCCCAGAACCCGCTGGCCACCCGCTCGACCCACCAAGAAAGACGCTCCTTCTGTTCTTCACAAGGGAGCACTTCTGGATAACATAACGAGGACTGTTTATTCTCTTGGTTGTATAAAATAGTTTCAGACCTGCTCTTCGATTTATAATCTCCAAGGCGGCTTAGGAAATAAACCTAAAAACATACTCAACCGCAAAAGGTAGCACATTGTATAAAAGCTATTCCAGCTAAGAAAAACAGTAGCTTTCCAGTTGGAAGCAGATTCAAAACAGCGTTCACTTATGTGCAATGATCAAAACATCCCAAGGTCGCTCATCTCTCATCCAGAGGCGATCCACTTTAGAGAGAACTCTGCCTGTTGCTGAAGTGTCATCACAGAGACGGTTGAATCCTGCGTCAAACATGCACAAGGCTTCAGATTGTGGGGCACGCAGAGCTGATGTCTGAAGGAGTTGTTTGTTGTCTGCGGGAGGAGGCAGTCCGTGAAGTGTCTAGGATCCCGAGGGGTCAGAATTTTTGAAGGGCAAAGCTGGCCTTTCTGTTGAGGCAGAGAAACCCACCGAGCACCAGTGAGATTGTGCTCCTGAGATGAGTCGTTGCTTCTCCGCCTTGCGCCTCCCAGTGCATGAGCAGCCCTGCTGTGAATGATGGGAAGGAAACATATCCGTGGTTGCTTGCAGTCTAGCCCAGGGCATGATGCGGTTCTTGGCTTGCTGCTTCCAAGCTAGGCATGTCTTCTCTGGCTTCCTGGGGCTCAGCAATAGAGAGGGAGACCAGAGCGAGTGGAGGACGGCTTCTGTTCCACAGGCAGGAACCCTGGCCATGTTGGAAGGAGAGAGAGAGAGAGAGAGCATGCTCTCATGTCTTTAGCATCTGTGGTCCAAGACAGGCGAGGAGCGGATTGCCCCCGCCCCTTCTTGACCTACCTGGTGGCCCTCGCCTGCCAATATAACATCATCACATCATCCCGCTGCAGCCCCTCCTCGATATAAGGCCCAGCTGGTTTCCCACCCAGAGGGAAGCAAGGAGCATCGGGGCCTCGCTGTGGGTGGGGACAGGACCCGGCCAGCCCTCGGAGGAGGGACTCCAAGGCTGAGGGTGCCACAGCCAGGTCCCCTCGTTGGCCAATCAAGAGGGCAGGGGCCCCATCCTGAGATCTTGTGAACCAGGGGCAGGCGATAAATATCCCAGCGAGTCAGGGGGCGTTTGTCTTTTTTCAGGACTGCCCTCCAACATGGTGTTGGGGCTCCTGGACCTGATAAAAACAGAGGCTAAGAGGGGTGGATGTGCAGGCCTCGGCTTTGCAGGAGAGGTCTCCTCCCGCCCCTTCTTCCTTCTTCCTTTGATTGACGCCTAGTTCAAACCGGGCCGTCTCTCCTTGGACAAGGCTAAGTAAAATATGCCTCGAAAAAGAACTCTTCAGACCGAATGGGCTTTTTTTTCATTTGGCAGGAGAATGAGCAAATGAAATGCAGTGCTAAGACGCACATGGACACACACGCAACCACCCCTCTGTAATGGCTGGATAAAAGAAATCAGCAAAGGGAGAAGAATTCAGCCTTGAAATTCTGTGTCCTTGAGATTGCAACCCTCTGAAGAAGGACTTGGGCTCAAGTCTGGGGCCCCCGCGTGCGGCACCAAGGGCCCCCCTTCTTGTTACAATAATAGCAATAGAGATCTCCCCCCCCCTGCACACACACATTTATTTCTGTGCACAGACTGGTTTGTCTGATGTTTTCTTCTCTAGTGACTGTTAGCAGGGCTGAGCATATAGGCAACCTTTTTCATCTGGCACAAAGTTCATCATCCTAAGTTTCTAGTCCTTATAGCGTTGGCAGTGCACTTGAAACCTGACGGGAATTAGATCCTAAGGGCAAAGAGAATCGCTGTTCCTCTCCACCACAACCCTCTAAAACGTCAGCCGGAGCCTGCCTTGAGATGCCTAGGCAGACACAGAGTGGGACTTGGAAAAGTTGCTATTGTGGAATACAAGTTCCAGAATCCTCCAGCCAGCACAGCCCAGGTAGCTGGGGGATTGCGGGAATATTAATTCGTTTGTTTGTGGACAGACGGAAGGAAGGAAAATGTTTCAAGGTGTTGGGGGGGGGAAGAGAGGTGCTGTGTGTTCTTCCAAACTGGAGAGAGAGGTTGACCGCTTTTCCTTTTCCGTCCTTTTGCCCCCAGGCTCTTCAGTGGAACGTGGAACCCCAGCCCATGGCGGCAGGCCCTCAGGCCCTCAGCCTCTCAGAGCAAACACCCATGGAGGACGTGCTGCCCGAAACGACGGAGCTCTCCCTGACGGTGGTGGCCGAGATCCAGGCCGTGGAGAGTAAAGTGGACTCTTACGCTGCGCAGCTCATGAGCTTGGAGGGCCGGATGGGCCTGGCGGAGACGAAGCTGGACGGCTGCGAGAAGACGGCGGTGGAGTTTGGCAACCAGCTGGAGAGCAAGTGGGCGGCCCTGGGGACCCTGATCCAGGAGTACGGGCAGCTCCAGCGGAGGCTGGAGAACATGGAGAACCTGCTCAAGAACCGGAACTTCTGGATCCTCCGTCTCCCTCCGGGCCCCAAGGGGGAAGCTCCCAAGGTGAGGAGGCGGCGGGGAGCAGGAAAGGTTGCGGGCGATGGGACGGTGCTTCCTGGCCACGTACTGAAGGGCGGGACGGAAGAGGACAAAGGTAGATGAGAGGTCGGCGTTGACCGGGTGTCAAGGGACCCAGTGAGATGACAGGCCAGGGGGTCAGGGGAAGGGGCAGGAATGGATGGTCAGCCTTGATGGGGCACCTCCTGCTCCAACACGGTGCTTCACTACCAAGTGCAAAGAGGCCTGCGTCGATAGGAAATGACTGTGAGGGACAGAGCAGGGTGTGTGTGTGTGTGTGTGTGTCGATAGGAAATGACTGCGAGGGACAGAGCAGGGCGTGTCTGTGTGTGTGTGTATGTGAGACTCCTCTGTTCTCAAATGCAGGTCCCGCTGCTCTTTGACGACACCTCCTGCAGTTTCTCGGAGCAAGAATGGAAGAGTCTGGATGAAGGACAGAGGGACCTCTACCGGTACATCATGAAGTCCAACTACAAGGCGGTGGTCTCTGTGGGTAAGAGTCTCACCTCACACACCCGGCGCATGGCGGCTGAGCCAGGAAGGCTGGCCCCGTGGCTGAGTGTCCTTGTTTCGCCTCCCTCACCCAAGGAGGGCAGACCAGGGCTGGCGGGAGACAAGCAGGCGCCGCCATGGGCCACGGAGGAGTGTCAGGGGGGCTCCTGTGAGAACCGCCAGGCTCCTGCTAAACGGGCCATTCCCTCCTCCCTAGATGCTGCCCTTTCCAAACCTGACCTGCTCTCCCGGCTTGAACACGCGGACGTTGGAGATGCTGGGGAGGGCGAGGAAAGAGGACCCCTGAGAGACTCCACCCTCGGTGAGTAACCAGACCTGCAGGCATGAAGGGATGGGCAGGTATGGGCATCAGGCAGATCAGAGAGACAGCCTGGAATTCGTTGCCGCCTCTGCGTGCTGGATGCTTACAGGATCTGCCCAGCCCCATAGATGCATAAGCTTTTCTCACCAGGCATCTAGATTAAATGGAGAAAAGAGCTATGATTCTGAGTCTCAGTGGGAAGGGTGTGTGTGTGTGTGTCTGTGTGTCTGTGTGTCTGTGTGTGTGGACCCAGTGTCCTGTCCTCTTCTCCAGAAAACCTGCCTCACACATGAGGCAGGGCTGGTTGGTTGCTGCGCCTTGAACCTCAGCGGCGAGCGTAGGAAGCTGTTCCGTGGCAGGCGCAGAACCTTGGCTCCCCTCTCCGGGTCTTGCTCGCTACAAGTCGGCAGCCGGGTCCCTCCGGGGTTTCAGGCGGGGTCCTTGGCCAGTCCCGCCTGGAGATCCCTGGGAATTCCCTGGGCATCTCCTGGCCGAGTGCTAACCCCCCACCTGCCTGAATTTCTGAAATCATGTCAGAGGGGTATGTGTGTGTGTGAGTAATTGGAGCCTTCTGCTTCACCTTCTTTCCACAGGGTCTCCCATGTCTGCCCTCCACGACAGCTCCTGGATGGAGCAGGAGGAGATGTCCCTTGTCAAAAGCATGGGGCACTTGGAGGAGAGAGACGTCCCTGGAGACGCTGCTGCTGTGGGTGCTCTAGGCAGAGGTGAGGCTGGCCAGCAATCCTGGGACAGCCGGTCAAGGAGGAAAGAGGGAGGGAGCCGGGTGGGGAGGAGGGCAGACGCAGCCGGCCTCCCAGAGCCCCGAATCCCCGGCCAATGGGACTGCCGGCCGGGTGGGTTCCTTTCCGTGACTCAGGCGTATCCACAGCAGAGGGACTGAGATGGGATCAGGACCAGGATCTGTCCTCTGGGCTGATTCCTGTGGGGTGTCTGAGCCTCTGAAGGCCTGGCTGGTTTTAAGAGCAGACCGTCATCCTTGCCGGGCCCAGAGGGACGTGGAGGTTTGGGCCCTTGAGGTCAGAGAGAGGGGTGCAGGATCTTGCACCACCCCGTTTGTGGGGTTCGTTCTCGTGCATGGTCGTAACGAGTGTGCCAGCGTCTGAACCTGGATTTCCCCAGTCTTGTCCTTACACAAAGTGGGTAGATTTACTGAGATGGGGCACCCTTGCACCCTCTCAAATTGCTACTCTCTTCCCCCCCCCCGGCTGGGTCTGCACTGAGGGCCCTGCAGGGGTCGGAGGCACGTGCCCAGGGAGGGGCCCCTGGTGGAACTGCAGTGCGGGCAGGCCTCTCAGCATAGGGGAGATCGGGGGTTTCTCACCAGTTGGCTGACGGCTGGCAATCTCTGACGAGACCATGTGCCCAAGAGAAGTACTCTGGTGGTATTGCTTTGGGAAAGGCCTCTTTAGTCTTGCTCGCCCTCGTGGACTGCCACGCGGGTGGACAGGAAGGAGTTCAGACTGGTGGGGGACACACACACACACACACACACACCGTTGAGAGGCAGGGCTTGGGGTGAATGGCCCGACGCGTCTGTTGCCATCGAGTGGAAGGGTTTGTGCCGTGTCGCGAAGCAGCTCTGTGTTGCTTGTGGGATGGCGGGGTGGGGTTTGGAGCAGGCTGGCCCTTCTCTGCCCCCAAGAGAGTTGCGGTCACTGTGGACGGATATTGTTTTCTGGGACGCCACAGACCTGCCCGTTTTTCTTGACTTCCACAGATGCTCCTCAGCTCCTGGAGGAAGATCCGGAAAGCTTGGAGCTGCCGGGCATGTTCCCACGAAAGTGGACAGAGGTCTTCCAGGGCCCTGGCGAGGAACTGCTCTGTGAAAGCCAGCCAGCCTCAGCCGTCCCAGCGAGGAAGCCTCCTGGGAGCAGCCTGCGGCGATCCTCTCGCTGCACCGTAGGCGACTCAAGGAAAGAGGGCCCCTCCCCGTTAGCAGCGGAAGCTCACACGGGCCCCTATATCTGCTGTGAGTGCGGGGAGGGTTTCCTCGATAAGCAGCTCTTCACCACCCATCAGAAGAGCCACGGGGGAGGAGGCGCTTATCCCACCTTGGACCCCGGAGGAGGAGGGGGTCTGAAGCCCAAGGCTGGCCCTCTCATTCTCCCGAGAGCACCGGCTCTGTCCCGCCCCAAACCGCCCAAGCGGCCTGAGCCCCAGAGAAGCTCAGCCTTCAAGCCCGGCGCGGGCAAGCGCCCGGGAAACCATATGGTGGAGCGGCCCTACACCTGCAGCCAGTGCAAAGAAAGCTTCAAGCTGGAGGTGAGTTTGCTGCTCCACCAGAAGCTCCACACCGGGAAGGGCGACGGGCCCCTGACCTGCACCTACTGCGGCAAGGACTTCCGAGACCTCTCCAAAGCCGTCCGGCACCAGCGGATCCACACGGGCGAGCGGCCCTACCAGTGCACCGAATGCGGGAAGAGCTTCATTCGGCGAGACCACCTGCTCAAGCACTGGCGCGTCCACACGGGCGAAACGCCCTACCAGTGCGCCACCTGCGGGAAGAACTTCCGCTACAAGGAGTCTTTGAACTGCCACCAGAAAATCCACACCCGCAACCCTGTGACGCACCAGCTGGCCGTCGGAACGCCCGTGGGCCTGATGGGCTTGAAGCAAGAGCAGCCGTAGCAATGCCTCTGCGCCCGTGGGAAGTTTGCCGCCACTCCCAGCAGGCTAGGAAGCAGGCTGAGTTTGCCCCACCCCCACCCCTCCCCGCCATGGCACCCGGGCCCGCCGGGAGACGGGAGCCCTCCTCTTGGTCTCTGTTGGACTTGCCCTGGGCTGGCATCATAAGCTATTTCCGGTGCCCGCCCAGGAAGGGCAGGAATGGCACTCAGGCAGGCTTCTGCGGCGTTTCTGCGGGCCGGCCACGTCCGAATCTGTTCCCTTGAGGGGAGAAGAGATGTTTGTGGGTGGTTTGTGGGCAGTGGAGGGGGGCACCCTTCCCGGGACTCTGAGAGCAAGGAAGATCTGAAATGTGTGTATTATTTTCTGCCCCCCCCCCGGCATCAGGAGCCTTGCTTGAGGCAGGTGTTCACCCTCGCGCACTCCGCAGCAGCCGCAGCAGCCGCACAAGCACACAGCAACACAAGTCAAGAGTTGGGAACGTGGGAGGTGGATATGCAAGATGGCAGCCGGCTTGTCCAGGGCTGCTCTCCTCCGACTCACCGACCTGCCCCCCTCCCTCCCTCCCTCCCAGGAAGCAGGGAACTGCCCCTTGCCCCTTTCCCTCTAATTCCTGGGCCCTGTTAAGCACTTCTGTGGAGCTGAAATCAAAACTCGTCTTTTTCCAGTTAATTGTTGTTAGTGAAGGTGTGTCTTTCTATCTTGCTTTTGTTTGTTTTTTTTTCTTAAATTTCCAAACTGCCGTTGGGTTCTGTCCTGCCTGGTGGAGTGTTCCCGTCGAAGCTGCTTCAGCCCGGCATCCAGAATGGGCTCCTTCCCGTTCTTCTCTTCTACTGCCGAGGGCCCGTCTTGTGTCGTGTCGTTTCACCGGGCGAAGTGACTGCAGGACCGGCGCCTGGACCGTCCGTCAAGGCCCCCCCCCCGAGAACCACTCCCGCTGCCCCCGCTGTCTTCTTCGTGTTGTTGTTGTTGTTGTTGTTGTTGCGGTTGTTATTTTTATTTACAAAAGGCATCTTTGTAAATATGGGTTGAATTATATAAGCATCTCAGTGTTGTGGAGCTCGCTGCCCGCTGCGGGGACTGTAACGAGCCAGCTTTTCCTCTGTGTGGCGTCAGGTGTTTGGTCTGTGGCTGCCTTTGGTCCCTTTCTTTGTAAGACCTTCCTTGGCAAAACCAGTCAATACAGTGTGTCTCTTCGGGAGTCTCTCTCGTCTCTGGAAGGAGTGTCGCCCGAAACGGAGTGTCGCCCGAGTCTTCTTTTCTCCAGGCTAAACCGTCCCAAGACTTTCAGCCTTTCCTCCTCAGGCTTGCTTTCCAGCCCCTGGATCCTTTATTGTGCTCTGTTTCATTAGCCCCCCCCCCCATTTGCCAGAGGAAACTTTAATCCACACCGAGGTGATTCGCCTCCTGCTTTGCAGCAAATGTGTCGCCCTGTGTCCCCATCGTCCTTTTCGGCCTCGCCCACCCTCTGTGGAGCCGGGGGGGAGGGGGGGCTCCTGCCACTGTCCTCTCCTACAGCCACGCCACCACTCTCTCCCTCCTCCTCCTCCCGAGGAGGCCAGACCTCTTCCCGCAGTCCAGGGGTGGAAGGACGGGAGATCTTTCTCCTTTTTCTCCATCATTGTGGCCTCGGACGTGGCAGCTCTAATCGAAGCAGTGATGTCGCTTTACATCCCCGCCGATTGCCCAGGGTTCTTCTGCCAAGGCGTTTTTCTCTTTTCTGTTCCCCCCAAAAAATGGAAGAAAACTGGCCTTGAGGGGTTGGGCTTTGGTGGGGAGTCTCTCTCTCTCTCTCTCCCTCCCCCCTCCATATCCCCATCTTGCGTCCTTGCTAGCACCAGCGTCGATCCTGCATCCCCCTTTGAATGCAGAGCCTCTTAACCTGTCCGACCGGCCTCTGTCCTGAGAAGCTGGGGGTGGGGTCGGGGGTCAGCGCGGCCTTCTCAGCCTCCTGGGGTCCCTTGGAAAGATCTGCTCTAAGGGTTCCTTCTTCCCAGCCCTGGCTTTGGGGGGAGGTGGGAAGGGGTCCCCTCAACCCCCCTCCCCTTGGCCTAGACCTCCTCCGTGGCTGTTTCCTTGTAAAGCCCTCCTGCCGAGGAAGAAGAGATCTCAGCCAGGGGCAGGGGACCATCCTAACCCCCCGGGCAGAGGGCACCTGCACGGAAGAGTGTGTCCCTGCGGGAGAGAAGGGCCACTTGGCCTCCGACCCCTAAGGAACGCAAACCACTTGCCCACCTGCCTTCCAGCTCCTGGCTGCCGTTCGCAACTCATGCCTGGCCCCCCCGTGTCCTCCATTGTGCGCCCTAGGAATAAATGCCTCCGCAGGAGGAGACGGCGAAACGGTGCGGGGCTGAACTGCTCCCGCTCAGGCTTCTGCATTACTTCAGGTTTCCTGCAGAGCAAAACACGGGTAGGCGAACAGCCCTGCATGGTGCCACAGAGAGCCCGTGGCTGGCAGTTTGGGGCTCTTTATTTTTGGCAAGTTCACCCCCGGGGAAGCAGACCGGCATCGCCACATTTCTGGGTCACTGGTGTGCAGACCAGGCTTTTCACCCTGGTGGACTCCAAAGTTTTGCTCCCCCTCTGGGTCCATCGGATGCTTTCATCGCAAGCTTTTTGGTGGTGCCCGAAGAGGCCCCCTTTCCACCCTGGTATTTTGAGGGGGGCGAAGGAAGAGAATCTCCTTTCCAGAGAAGCCACAAAGTCCAATGGGGATTTTAGCCTTGTGTCAGTGGCTGTTTTAGGGTTGGCTGGTGCCTAAATGTGGTCCCTAGGCATCCATTCGGCAATATCAAAGTTTGTTTATTTATTTATTTATTTGATTTTGGCAACATCAAAGTTTGTTTATTTATTTCTTTCTTTGATTTCTATCCCACCCATCTAGACCAAAGTTATCACGTTGTACAAATATACCTTCCTTTCCCACCGTAAGACAAAGTCCCGGGTTATAAATGCAAATTATGAGCTAACGAACAATGGATCGCAGCTGGTCCAACTAAAGTGACACAGGCTATACAGGATTGTGATCTTTATTAATTCATTACAGTAATTGCATTTCACTCCCGTTTTTATTCCAGTGGACTCGGGGCAAAACCCCCGATTGGCTTTTCCTTCTCCTGTAAAGCAGGCCAGGCAGAGAGAAAGGGCGACGTCACCCGAGGGGATCCAAGAGACCTGAGTTCAAATCCCTCCTCAGCCAAGGACCTCCCCGAACATAAAGCGCAGCAGAATTCCGTCCAGGGTGCGGAAAGCCTGCGGAGGGTCCGGCCTGGGGTCCCTGGCCCTTCATTCCTCCTTCCTGGTGGTCGTGCGCCATCATCCTGCCACTTCGGACTGGCGGCCACCTAAGGAGCCAGAGACTTCCCAAAAGCTCTGCTGAGGTCTTGCACCGTCCAGCCCTTGGTGGCTCCCTTGAGGGGATCGATCCATTTCCTATTGGGAGTCTCCCTCTTCTCCTGCTGCCCCCATCGCCGGGAGGAGGAGGAGGAAGAAGAAGGTTTCAGTGGCTTTGGAACAACAGGAGCCCCGGAAATCATCCCCCGTGCGGGCAGCGGGGCTCAAGCCCTGGACGCCGCCTCGAGCTCGGGGGGGGGGGGGGGGGGGGGGCCGA